CTTGCTTGCTTGCTTGCTTGCTTGCTTGCTTGCTTGCTTGCTTGCTTGCTTGCTTGCTTGTGTGTGTGGAAGGCGATGACAATACATGCACGCTGCTAGGAGCGGCTTAATGGCCATGATGCAGAAGAAGTTCGGCTACAAGATGTACTTCGGTGGCCCCAACGGTGCTGGTACCGCATGGTACGGCTATGAATCTTACTGGAACAATGGCACGGCAGCTCTTGGAAAAGATGAAGCCCTCTACAACACCGGTGGTGGGCAATGGCACTACGAGATGGGGTTCTCGGATCCCTACTTTGGCACAACGGCGTCGATGGTTTCTCAGTTTGAAACCCAGTCTCGTGGATGTGTTGGCAATTTTTTCTAAACTTTAAACCGTTCCCGGAATGTGATGGAATTGATGGAATGGACTTGCATAGATAGATAGATAGATAGATTACTGGCCTCCATCTTGTGTTCTTCTCGGAGGACCATAGATCTTTGATCTTCAGATTAAACCCACGCAAGGTTTGCAAAGGTTCCCAGCTATGATCATGCCGCGTGCATGGCCGCAGGCAGATGGGGCTGCACACTTTTTTTCAGGATTATGTTTCTCAATTGATCCACAACACAAAGGCGAGTTAGTAACGGATTGACTGTTCGGACATATAGTCGATTGATTGAGACGGATTTACTGGACTGAAAGGTGGGGTGGGGGGCTCGCCAGAACATGAACTTTTCGAGCTGCTGGGGCACTTATACAGGCTTGCCATGTTCGCCCGTGGCCGCGATTGTGCTGACTATTGAACAGACTCAACTTGTTGTTTCACGCTAGTGTTATGTATTCTACGTCTCACTCGTGCTACTTTGGCTCAAGGCAAAACAGGTGCGTTTAGTGGTAGTTGTCGGCCACTCACTTGTAACAACAGGTTATCAGCCGTATCGCCAGAAGTGCGGTACGTGCTTGTGACTGGCCTTGGTCTCACCCCACCATAGGTAGTGCACTGCCTAGAGGCCATGGCTGAAGACGATGGTTCCCGACATGACCGTTCTCGTTCCGGCTACGTTCCTACTTCACCTGCAATGTCTAGCTCACCTGCGCTAGAGCTCCCTTTCGTTCCGCTGGACCTTCAGAGGCCAATTGAGCCTCCATCGTTCAGTGCCCAGGGGGGACCTGGTGTCTGCTGTTCCGACGCCGTCGCCATTCCATACTGAGTTTTCACCTGTGTTGAATGTACAGAACGTTGATGCTAGGCAGATCCATCAACAAGCACTCTTCGTCAATGAAGATCGATCGGCCCAGGTTGCTCAGATTGCGGAACTAAGGCATCAGGCCATTTTGGCCGAGCATGGACAGCAGGTCGCGGATCAAGCCAGACAGTTCAGGGATGCCGTGAATGAACAAGCCAGAACGGCCATTGAGGAGTCTAGGGAACAACATGAGGCTATTGCCAATCAACGATTAAATGACACGAGTCAAGCCCACCAGAACCAACAACTTCATGAACAGAGGGCTTACTTGGATCGAATTTCGCTCGAAAGACATGCCGTCGTTGAGAGCGAACGCGCATTGGCCAGGCAAAGAGAGGATGCCCTCCGGTCAGAACTCGCAGAACAGAGTCGGATCATCAAGGACCTAAGAGAAAGATTCGACAACGCCTCGGGGAACCGAGTGCCTGTGCCACCAGCCCAGCCACTTGGGTCTCAGGTATCCCCAGTTTCGCATCCTGCAAGTCTTCGCACTCAGTTGGAGAAGCACGGGATCAAAGGCGATGACGAACCACATCCGTCAGATGCGGATGAAGAATACGACAAAAAGTCCCACAAGGACAAAAAGGAAAAGAGAAAGGAGAAGAAGAAGGACAAGAGCCCAAAGAGGGGCCGTTCCAGAGAACGCAGGAAAAGACGATCTCCTTCTCCATCTCCGTCTTCATCCGGTTCATCGAATAGTGATGATGATTCCAATGACTCAAGCTCTGAGTCCTCGCGTCTTGCACGTATCATCAGAAAGGAGCTGAGGAAGCAGCAAAAGAAGTCGAAAGACCGAGAGTGTGAGAACAAGGCCAAGGAGGCCGACAAGGTTCTCATTCCCAAGTTTCCCACACCTGAGAAGTACAGAGATTGGAAGATCAAGGTGAGGGACAACATTGCCGCTGCTTCGGCCAAACCAGATGATGCAAGATCGTGGGTTGGGAAAGTATATAATTAATCCCAAACCATTGATGCGCTCGATGATTCCGAAGGTTTTGCCACTCTCGACGCGAAGCTTCTTGCAAGCCTCACTAACTGCGCCGAGGGGGACCTTGGTCGTCAAATCGCAACCTTTAAGGAGCTGCGTGCTCGCGAAGAGAAGCCCGTGAGGGGAGGCATTTGCTCCTCCGGTTCCACGAGTACTTCGCCACAAGCATCCGGCACGGCGCCATTTACGGCCTCGAAGATCTCATGTCGGTCAAAATGGTAAATGATGATCTGAAAGGTTTCATCAACAAATGGGACAGCGTGTTAGCGGGCATGAAGAAGGAGCCCGAGAACAACGTCCTAGAGGCATACTTTCACCTTGCGGTGAAGCGTTTCAAGCCTCTCGAACATGATCTTGCCCTGTATGACAGTGCTGCGGAAGGCAGCAAAGAGAGGTCTCATGACTTCCTCATCACTGCGGCCCGGGCATATCTTGAGAGAAAGAGGCTTGAAAAGATGAAGGATGCCACTAAGCGCTCTCTCGGTGCCAAGGATGTCGCACTGCCAGCTCCAGATGACAAGAAAGGTGTGTGCTTTGATTACCAAAAGACCGGTAAATGCAAGCGCGGATCCTCATGTCCTTACAAGCATGAAAAAGGCCGCGAAAAGAGCAAAGGAAAGGGAAAGGGTAAGGATCGCAGTCAGTCTCGATCGAGGTCACTGACTCCAGGGTCTCGCAAGGAGACTTGCAAATTCTGGAAGGCAGGACATTGCCATCGAGGTAAAGATTGTGCGTTCCAGCACCCTGAGAAGACTGTCCCTGCCAAGAAAGAGGACAAGAAGAAGAAGAAGAAAGACAAGAAACCTCGCAAACGAAGCAGTTCGCGAGGGTCGTCAGGCTCCGACAACTCAACTGGCTCCGAGAGTCAGCGGAGAAAAGGTGGGAAGTCTTCTTCTTCCAACGCACCGGCAGCAGTCTGCCTCCTTCGAGCAGTGGTCATGGCCGCAGTGGTCTCTCAGGGATCCTCCGTCCTCATCACTCGCCCGCTGGGAAGCGTGGCCATGCCGGTCCTTTCCGCATCGAACACATTATGCACCGATTTTGACCAGTTTTGTTAGACAGCAAGTTTGTTTTGATGATCAACCAAATGTTTTTATTCATGCTGTTGAGTCGTCTTCCAATTGGAGGTCTGTTCAACCCCGAAGTAAGAAGAAACGGAAGGCTTTCACACCGAATCGACCGGAGTACAATGAAGCTGTTCGAGTTGCCACTGAAGATGCTTCCATTGCAGCCTCACATCTCCAGAACGCTGTTAGGAATGAGCTTTTGTCCGTATCGGCAGAATGTTCGTACCTATGCAACTCTGACATTGGTTGCATCAAGTGTTTTGGGAAGAGGCCGTCGACCTCAGTGCCTGCCACTGAGATTGCTTGGATAGCAGACACGGGCAGATGATCTTGTGTCTAGGCACATGCTCCATTCCGATGAGGCGTCACAGTCATCCAAACCTGTAAGTCTTCTCACAGCCAACGGAGTATTTCAAGCCACTGACCAAGCAAGAGTAAATGTTCCCATCTTGGGTGATGACATCAATCCGTATGTCTTAGATGACAGTCCAGCCGTCGTGTCTGTCGGACAACGTTGCATCGATGCAGGTTGGAGCTTTCATTGGCCAGCTTATAGCAGGCCATACTTCAAGAAACCAGATGGTACCAAAGTCAAGCTTGAAGTAGATGACTATGTTCCACACCTGCCATCCACAACTGGTGTTGCGATGTCAGCCATAGGCCAACCTTACGGTACAAATCAGCGGTCGGGGGGACCACGACCCATGATTCCTCTGCCTGCTACGCCGGCTGAAGAAGCGATTGAGGTCTACGATGATGATGAGAATCCCATTGGTGAAGACCCCGCTGAAGAGGAGCCTGAACCGATGGATGAAAGGTTGGTGGAAAAGCCGTGGGATCCCAAACGGGATAGAGGGGAGATTGCACTGAAGGAAGAAGCTCAGTCAATTCAGCATCTGTTGACTCACACACCGAAGAACCCCTTTTGTCAAGCTTGTTCCAGGCGAAGATGACGAAACGTCCATCCTATAGCAAGGGAGGTTCTACCCAAGTTGATGCGGACCACTTTGGACAACATTTGACTGCCGATCATCTTGTCATTAGGGACGATGAGGAAATGGACATTGATGGGGCTCGAGTTGCACTGGTCGTAAAAGATGTAGCAACCGACTTTAGATATGTCTACCCGGCCGCCCGTCGTTCGACACGGGAATGCATCGCAGCCTTCAAACATTTTGTTCGATCTACTGATGAGGTAGGAGTGTTTTATTCCGACAACTCACCAGAGCTCATCGCCACTGCCGAGAGGCTAGGATGGAGACACCAAACCAGCTTTGCATATGTTTCCAAAACGAACGCAATGGCTGAAAGATCCATTAGGTCCGTTATTGAAGGTACAAGAGTGAACTTGGACATGCATGGCAAACAATATTATCGACACCAGAAGAAATGCCACCGGCTCAGATCCTTCACGATGTTCCTCCGCAAGATGCCATAGCCCCACCTGTTTCGCCACCAGTGCGGAATCCCCTCGCACTTGCTCACGCTCTCGGGCGGTTAGCCCATCCAACCCCCAACGGTCAGATCCACGGCCTCTCACTCTCCTTGGTCCTGGGGGCCCCTTGCACCTCAATCTGCTTGTGGTACGACAAGGCGGACCTCCAACAACACCCTTCACCTTCCCGGATCTAGCCAGCGAGCACACATAGCTCCACACATTCGCATTGTGCACGTTGGAGCCGTCTCCCAACTCCAGATCCAAGAAAATCCAATCCATGTCGTCCGGCAAAGTGCCCTTCCACCTCCCTGTATCAGCTCCAGAGAAAAGGTGAACCACCAAGCCCCGACTTCGTTGATGTCGACGCCTCTGACGTCTATTCCAAGGCAGCAACTCTGGGTTCGGCTCACTCGAAAACCCAACCATCATCTCCAGCACGTCCTCCGGCACGTCCGGCATGATGCTGCGCCACCAATTCCAGTCCGCTTGGGACAGCTTCTTCCGATTCTTCTGGTTCTCCTCGAACTCTGCCAACATCACCATGGCATCCTTTCGATTCATGACAGGGCACCCCGATCCGGGAGGGTAGTTCGCCTTGGTCGCAACGGTTCGGTGAGAAGTTCAAAGGCCCGTTGGTTCCTTTGGGTTGACTACTGGATCAGTCCTAAGAACAAGGCCAAATCCTCTCTCAGGTTCGAACCGACGTCAAACCCTGAGGAATCTTTTTGGGGTACGCCGTTCAGTCCAATTTCGTGTGGAGGAAGGAGTTCATGGTTCTCCCACTGCAAGATGTCATGGAGTCAGACTTCAGTGCCGAGATCCAGCCGTTGA